ACTCTCATACAGGCAGCGCGCTACTCACACAACCTAACAACACTACCCCCGATAACGCCGTTCCACTTGAGGCTAACAACCCACCCGATAACACACCTGCAACGCCAGAGACAACCTCGGAGCTTGTTGCGATCCTCATGTCCCTCTCTGGCTTCTCTCCCATCGCTATTCGCCGCGCCATGGCCTCCCCCCTCCCATTCCTGCTTCTCCACCTCCCACCTGTACCCACGGAGCCGGACTCTGACTCTGAGTTAACGCCCACTCTCGCCTCCATTATCTGGAACCCCAAACTTGGTTCAACGAGCGGGATCCTAGGCGGAAATATGGAGATCCGCCAGGAGCTCGGCAAAGGCAGTCACCCTACCCTCTACTGGTGCGGCAAGAAGCTTAAACACTGGGTTCCAGAGCTCGAGCCGTCGGTACCCACATCTCGCTTCGATCCTCCTGCCCGGTGACCTCGTCTACCCGCTATTACTAGTTCATTAAATGACCTCGATTAATTCGTTTACCCACATATACCGACTCCACCCAACATACAACCATCGAAACCATACCAGCTGTGACCAATGTTCCCACATGGCCCTTAAAGCAGTCACATACTCTCCTACTCCCGATGCATAGACTACCATTCCCTTGCCCGGCCAGATTGCACCTAGATAGCCCGTATATTTGGCCAAGACACCCGTCGTGCGTAAGGTCCATAGGCGAGTTTGAGGGGATGATGTGCGAAGGAGCCGAGCGGTGTGGAATAGGGAGATGTGGTTCGGGTGTGAGGAGATGCCGTGTATGTCGAATGTGATTATCTTAGATATTGTGAATACGTCAGTTCGGGTAGCATAGGATGGAAAGAATATAGAGAGCAGGGAATAGACAACCCACCGATGCGATCCCATGTAGACGTACATACTCCTCCACAATCTCCGCAACCAAAGAAGCATTCCACGCACGCTTAATGTCGTCCTGCAGCTCCCTGAACTCCCCTCAGTCTTACCCAACCAGCCAATGAACAAGGTGCGACAACTCACGGATGATCTATTGCCTCAACCTTTGCCTCTTCCACTCCCAACACTCCGTAGCTCTTCACGAGTTCGTCCCTCCTTACGAGTCCCAGGCCATCGGCATTCCCTGCGCAATTCGTTCAAAAGGGCCGACAGTAGGATGCGATCGGGCGAGACTTACCAACGCTCAGACAAAGCCCACGCACATCTTTTCCAGCGCTCCTCAACCCCAGCACGCTGGGTGCAAAAAACATGCATTCGTCGTCTGGGTGGGCTGTAAGGAGTAATATTGGGCTCGGGATGTCTAAAATACGACCCGGAATTAAAAATGGTTTCCGAGGTATGGGGAGAAAACGATGACGTGCCTGCATGGGTAGGGAACACTTTCGCCGACCTCAGGAGAAAAAGCAAGATTAAGACGGCAAGAGAGGGGAGAAAGAGGCTTCGACGCCGCGTCATTCCGGCATAAACCTCGCACACCAGCTGAAAATAACCGAGTCTGAACCAAAGACGCTCCTGCACTCCAATTGCGAGACCGGTTTTTAATAATAAGAACAAGTTGACTTGGCGGAACACAACATGAGCAGTGAAAAGTCTATTTCCATACGTAAGCAGCATAGCCACAACAGAGCGCCGAGCGGTACAATCCTACCCAAAGTATTTTGGCCTTACCTCGCCGCAACGCACCAAAAAAATCCTTCTTGCTCACCAGGAAGGTAAATTGAACGCTGATTGGACAAGTCCAGATTCGAACTGAAGACCTCTCGCAAGTTTATAATCGCCAGTGCGAAGCGAGCGCGCTACCAACTGCGCTACATGCCCTGGTGCATGGGCCCAATTGGGTAAATTCGTTCAGAAAAT